GCTGACAGGCGACTCCTGCGTCGGCCGTCCCGTCAGCAGCAGCAGCAGCAGCAGCAGCAGAAGGGCCTACTCCCTCAGCAGCAACCAGCAGCAAACACCGCAGCACCAACACGCAGCCAGCGAGACCCGGTGGGGATGTAAAACGTCTGCCGCTGCTGCTGCTGCTGCTGCTGCTGCTGTTGCTGTTTAGAACGGCTCTAAGGGAGGCAAGCCACAGCAGCAAGAAGAGAGTAACCAGCTGACCCCTAGTGACTCTGAAAAGGAAAGCAACAAGCAGCAGCAGCAGCAGCAGCAGCAGAAGCAATTCAAAAACATGGAGAAGACGCAGCGGTGCGACTCAAGCAGCTGCTACAGAAAGGGAAATGCGCAACAGAGAGCAGCGCCACAACAGCTGACACTCCTCCATGCTGCTGCTGCTGCTGCTGCTGCTGTTGCTGCTGCTGCTGCTGCTTACCCTGCAGCTGTCAATACACTTCGAAGCGCCGCAGCTACTACAGTTTCTGGAAAGCCCAGGAGAGCTGTAAAGACACTTGGGGGGCACCAAGTTCTTTGCTGCTGCAGCTGGTGCAGCGCAGCAGCAGCAGCTGCTTGTGCTGCTGCAGCAGGACCCGCAGCAGCAGCAACTTCGGCGACGAAACTCCGCAGCAGAGGAGCATCCCAAGGTGGCTGCAAGAAAGCATCAGCATAAATCTGGCCCTCGCAAATTATGGTTAAGGGTTTAGGGTTTAGGGTTTAGGGTTTGGGGTTGCAGCCTGTATCTGTCCATTCCGGATGCGGGTTCCAAGATTAGGGTTTAGGGTTTAGGGCTTAACGTTAAGGGCTAGTTAAGTGGGGTTAGGGGTTTCGGAATTAGGGTTTAGGGTTTGTGGACTGCACTTCGGGTTTTGCAAATTAGGGCTTAGGGTTTGCGAATTAGGGTTTAGGGTTTGCGCGACTTTGAGGTCTCTGGACTGCGTGAGGCAGCCGTTTGCAGCAGCTGGAGGGCTTAGGGTTTAGGGTTTAGGGTTTAGGGTTTGGCGCACGAGGTCTGGGGCGGCCTGCCAGGCACAAAGCACCTGCAGCAGCTGCTGCTGCTGCGGCCTTGCTGCAGCAAAGACACCCCACAGCCGCAGCAGCTGCGAGCGGAGAAAAGAAGGCAGCAGCAGCTGTACAGACACCCCACACCGCCGCCCGCACACATACGCCTCGAAGGCGCGCATGCATGCGCGCCCCCGGCTTGCTGCTGCTGTTGCTGCTGCTGCTGCTGCTGGTGCTGCTGCTGCTGCTGCTGGTGCTGGTGCTGCTGGTGCCGGTGCAGAGGGGGAGCGTGCCGTGTCGAGGGCACAGGGCCGTGTGCTATTTGCTGCTGCTGCTGCGGTGGCTGTTGCTGCTGCTGCTGCTGCTGCACTGAGGGCCGTCGCTCCTGCAGCGCTCGCTGCAGCGCCGTCGCTCCCGATGCTGCTGCTGCTGCTGCTGCTGCTGCTAGTTCCACCCTGGGCAGCAGCTTGCTGCGCCTCCTGGGCGCAGAGCCGCCGCAGCACAGCAGCAAAAAGAGACACCCCAAGTGTCTCCCTTTGGGGCCCCTGGGGGCCCTCAAAAAGAGACACAAGAAAAGATGCTGCTGCTGCTTCCACTGCAGCAGCAGACATGGCCTCGGCGCAGCGCCCAATGGACTGCAGCAGCAGCTCCGATGCGGCAGCAGACGCTGCTGCT